ATTAAAAGAAAAAGAGGATAAGAAGTTGGGCGGGGTTGGGGGTAAGATCTAGAAAGAGATAAGGGAAGGAGTGGGAGGAAACAAAGATGATCAAAATACATTCATGTATATATAAACTTCTTGAAGAATAAATATACATATCTTTAAATATGTATAGCTTATTGTGTAATACATATTTTAGGAAAAGATACCTAAGAATAGCTGCAAAGAATTAGAACATTCAGCCTGACCATGTCTACTTTAACACAGGCCATTCTAACAGAAGGGTTGACCTTAAGGTTATTATTCTTGCTGAGCAGAATAACGAATCTTTTTGCTAAAGATAAATTCACGTTATCCTTTTCACCTATGAGGTTGTGGCTTTTTACTTATCTTTCATAATACATTCTGCCATAGAATAATTGTTAGACTTTCAAGCATTTTCAATTGCACAGGAGCCACACCACTGAGATATGTTTCCTGTCTACGGTCATACGACCCTGAATGCATCCAATCTCATCTGATCCAGGAAGGTAAGCAGGATGGAGCCTGATTAGTGCTTGGGTGAGAAATATGTTTGCTAAGCCTTTTTAAGTTGAGCCAAATTATTCCAGTGGCTTTACCACTGTTACAGGGAAATCAGCTTTTAAGTACTAGGTACCAAATTGAAGGTGCTGATCTTCATTCAGTCTTTGCGTTTGACACTTGAAAATCACCATTCTTCACTGCTTGGGGTTTCCAAAAATATTCCTATTCATTTGATGGTTTCTGATTTTGATCTTCTAATTAGTTCATGAAAAACTTTAAATAAATACTACTCCAACAAAGTTGGATAATAAAACAAAATAAAACAGCAAAAAATTCTGCTACCTAAGATAAAGTTTCTGCACCAACACACACAGAATGCATAGAGGATAGAAAATGGAATTCAAATAAGGATCTTGGAGAGTTAAGTGAAGAATTCTCCTAAGCCAACAAAACCTTTCTATCATCATTCTAGCAATTTCAACAAAAAGTCAATGTTGTTTTTTTGCTGTTACTGCAACTTATTAAGTTATGCAGACACAGAATTCAATATACCATTTTCTTCTAAACGTAAATTTATAAGGCATTGCAATCTAAATTGCTATACTGTGTGTGTGTGTGTGTGTGTGTGTGTGTGTGTGTGTGTGTGTGTGTGTGTGTGTGTGTGTAGTGTGTATATATATGTATGTATACATATATATGCAGTCTATGAGGTATATATGTAATATACATATATACATATGCTACTACAGGTCAACATATCAATAATGGGCGTAAACACTTCTAAACAAATGAAGGAGTAGAAAGGCAGATGTGGCTGCATTAATCTACAGTAGTCCCAGCACTTGGGCAGTTGAGGTAGGAGGGTCATGAATTCGAGTCTTACCTGGGCTATGTGATGAGTCCCTGTCTCAAAAACAATTAACAGATGTTAAGTGACCCTAGGAAGAGATGAGAAATAAAATACAAACATACAGAACTCACTTTCTGTTGACAACTGGAAACTGCATTCTTGACAGATGAGTCTACCAAGAGAAATGAAATTAAGGCCTGAATTGTCATAGCTTCACCTAAAAATGTCAGGTTAGGCTTTCCAAAATGTGCCCATGTCTTCTCTACTTTCCTAGCCCTGAATAAACCACATACCCTACTTACTTACATTCACTTACAGACACAGCATCCCTCCTCTACCCTAGATCCTCATTTTGGTATTCCTGCATATGGGCATTTCCGGGCAGTTCTTCTCAACCTGCAGGACTTACTCATTCTCCTGACATCTAAGGTCATGTTCAAATTTATGTTGTCACGCCTACTAACTGCTTTGAATCATTGTCAGCATGTATTTTTTAATGGTTATACATAAGTATAATTCAAGCAGCTTGCACTGCATTAGAACTCTGTGGCTTAGTAGCTGTGTGACACTGGAGTAGTTGCTTAACCTCTTCATGTCTGTATTTCCTTTTCTTAAAAATACATAATCATGAGATTATTATCAAATGTAAGGTAGTGCCTAAAACAATTAAGCATTCTATCAGGTATCCTTTTGTTTTGTTTCTTGAAGATGATTTGTCTGTGTAGCCCTGGCTGTCCTGGAACTAGACCAGGCTAGCCTCCAACTCACAGAGATCCATCTGCCTTCCTGTGCCTCTTGTGTGTTGGGATTAAAGGCCTATCAGCTATCCTTATTATTGTTACTATCAAGAATCCACTGCAGCCAGGTTGTGAGGGCACAAATCTTTAATCCCAGCCCTTGGGAGACAGAGGAAGGCAGATCTCTGAGTTTGAGGCCAGCCTGATCTACAGAGCGAGTTCTAGGACAGCCAGGGCTACACAGAGAAACCCTGTCCCCAAACAAACAAACAAAAGAAGAATCCACTGCAAAGTCTAACACATCTGATTTTACTTCTAACCTTGAGAAGCAAATGCTACTCCTGTGTATTGGGGTAGAGATGAGTACACATTTTAAAAGCTGCTTTTTAAATTAGGCTGAGAAATACAGGAAGTCTTGGATTATAGCATTGCTCATTAATGTTGTTCGACATCACTAACAGAACAAATAACCACATAATATTTCTGATTTTTGTAATATTCAGGAAAAATATGCAAACAGGCTCAATGGTCAAGAGTACTTGTTGTTCTTGCAGAGGACCTGGGTTCAGTTCCCAGCATCTACATGGTAGCTCTGAAACATCTGTAACTCAAATTCCAAGGGATCCAACATCCTCTTCTGGTCTCCGTGAGCATCAGGCATGCACATAGTATATACATATGCAGACAAAACATTCAATACAAAGCCAAGAAACTTAAACACTCATCGGACACATAATAACTTATAGAAATGTATCTTTTCAAATTTTAGGTTCCATCAGAACATTTGCCTCCAAATTTCTAAATCATTTGTTAAAAGGACAATTCTTTTACTATCTTAAAGGAAAATTTTGGTATAGCAAACTGAAATTTCCTTTCTCAAATTTCCTCCCCTACCCCATTCATGTAAAGTAGTTCTCCTTAAAGATCCTCTCTTCATACTATTTTGGGATTATTTTTAAAATGCAAGATTATAATGAAGCTATCATTTATTTTGGCACTATGAAGTTGAAAATTTTGACATTTTCATGAAAACAGAATTAGTGAAACAAAGGACAAAGAGTTATCCATGGGAAATAAAACAAAAGAAACTAAACAAAAATTCCATAAATATCTATCATTTAAATAATCTAATAAAAGTCTTAATCCTTCCTAGGGCATTTAGAAATTTAAATCTTAAAAAAGAAAGAGGGAGGTGTAACTCTAATACTTGATGAAATTCTTAAAGCAGTTTCTCCTCAAGTTGACTTCTGGAAGAGAAATTGAAGAGCAAGAAAGCAAAGAACAAACAGCAGTGTTGAAACTGTATCCCCGCATCCCCACACTCAAAAAAAAAATACGTGCTCGAGAGGTTCAATCTAATAAGGATTAACCAAAGGCATTAAGCTGGTTTTTGAAAATGCAGTTATTGTAGTAAATTAGTAGTCAGTAACCCATGTTTTACTTTGAAATATCAGAATGTTGTGTATGGAGGCCAAGAGGTTTCTAATGTGGAGTCCCAAACTAATAATAAACATTTCTATTTTTTTTCAAACAAAATATTCAGTAACTCTTAAGAGTAACTTTTCTTATACTTTAAAGTACAGTCTAGACACACCCACACATGTTGGCAAGAGACAAAGTTCAAGGTTTGACGTTCTGGTGATTTCATGGAACCTTCAGTTCTATTCCAGATCCTCTTAAGTGTAAATACAAACCACCCAACACCCCAGGGTCTCCAGCACTCTAGTTCTACATTCCAATTCCTGAGCCCACACATCTGCTCTTGCCACTGCTGGCCTTTTTTTCCTCCTGGGGTTGCACGAACAGAGGCTCTTTATTTACCATGAGTATGCATTCAGCTTTCACCTCAGTTTACCCAATCCTCCACAGACATGCTAGAAACTCTTATGCTAAGTTAACAATTGGCAAATGGATCAAGGAAGAAAATTCTATCCTATGAAGGGGTAGCAACTCAGGTGCCATATGTCCTTTCTCCAGTCTTAAAGTAGTGGGTTTTAGAAGGAAAACCTTTTGAAGGAAAAGAAAAAGTCAAAATAAGAATCAATATGGGGGAGGGCATGCCCCACACTACATTAAATAAACACACACACACACCAAAAAAGGAGAAGGAGGAGAAGGAGAAGGGGAAGGAGGAGGTGGAGGAGGAGGAGGAGGAGGAGGACGAGGAGGGGGAGGAGGAGGACAAGGACGAGGAGGAGGAGGGGGGAGGGAGGAGAGGGGAGGAGGAGGAGGGGGAGGAGGACGAGGAGGATGAGGAGGAGGAGGAGGAGAAGGAAGAGGAAGAAGAAGAAGAAGAAGAAGAAGAAGAAGAAGAAGAAGAAGAAGAAGAAGAAACAAAAAATCATTTGTATCATTGTTCCTGACTTTCTATTTTCTTTTAATGTTCTATGCCCTGCCTACATGCTCTCAAAATAATTCCAATACAGTAGTTTCACAATAATCTCAGTATCTCAGGAGTCTTCCACTCCCTCCCCAGCAGTACCCCCATCCTTTACAGGAATGCAATGCTTCCCCTGAACTCGGTACTGAGAGCATATTTGTTAATTGCCTTGATAGCCTGAAAGCCACTGGGTTTTTTATTTTATTTTATTTTATTTTACTTGACTTCACCTAACCGTGAAATCTATAAACCAGTTATCTCCTTCCATCTACCTAAACTCGGTAGTTTTCCTTTTCTTTTAGAAATGAAATATGGCACTAATGTCTGAAGGCAAACAAAGCTAACTCCACGAAAAAAGAAATGAAATCGACGCAACAAAGGAAGAAAGGAAAGAGGGGGGTGTAGTGGGCGATGCTTGCGTCTTCTAAGGAGAAGCTTCCAGTGTAACTTCTGCAATTTAACGGTTCTGGGGCAGAGAGATCTAGTGTGTTGGAAAACAACAAAGGTGGGCTCCCACTCTCCTTACCGCCGTAGAGCCAGAAGAAGATGCAATATATACACGGATCACCATCCTGGAAACAAGAGCTTGTGGTCGGTCGCTGGAGTGTTGAAAAGGGCTGAGAAACAGCTGCAGCAACGCTGGAACAGAGCAAGGGGCCAAACAGAGGTTGGAAGAGGAGGGTGGGGGAAGGTGGAAGGGGAACTGGCCAGAGCCCCGCCTCCACCAGTGGCTGCTTTCAATGAGCTTCCAGCACTGCAGTCCCAGCCCCAAACCCCGGAAGGCTCAGGCTCATTTGCATCATTTCTAAATTGTTTTTTTAAAACACAGGATCTCGAACAGCACCGCGAGATCTGTTAAAACAATTCTTTTTGACTATTCCCTCTCCTGGAAGGGGGAGAGGGAGAAATAAAAGAAGGAGTAGGGGGGCGGGGATCCCTGAATTGCACTAGGTTAGAATAAAGGACCCTTTCCCATGTACAACAGAAGTTTTGAGTGTTACTTCCTGCTCAGAAATGTATGCAAATAACATAGTTGAAAGCTAGCTTTGTGTTGAATCCAAACACTAGTTTAATTTTTTTTAAACCACGTTATCAAAGCCTTGTGTATTTTAAGACGCCTATAATGAAGTGAGCGATTTTTTTAACCTTAGTTGGTTGCAGGAATTCGGTGTGTTCTGAAATGTTGTGCGATGTGGAGGAGGGCTGGAGAGAAGTTTCAAGTTTCCCTAAACCGGAAAGAGCAGAATAGGTCTTCTTTTTGTCTGGGCTTTTGTTAAAATAGGAAACAATCCTTTAGTGGGAATTTGCAGGAGATATAATCAAGAATTCTAGAATGAAGGAGGAAATTGTAGAGAAAAAAAAATAATCAACAACTCTGGAATGAAGTAGGAAATTGCAGGAAGAAAATCATCAGTAAATACTTAGAACGAACTTTGTGCCCTTCGTGTTTCATACCTGTAATCTCTGCACTTTGGAGGTGAGACATGATTGCCTGGAATTAGAAGCTCGACGATGCTAAAGAGTGAGACTATAAAAAACCAAAAGCAAACAAAAAGACTTTCTACAAATTATCAAGTACAGTAAATTAGAGTAATCTAGCCACCATACTCATTATCAACATCACAGCTACTCTTCATTTTACTACCCAGAGCACTATGCCAAGGAAAATTTTTATAACTATAAATCAAAATCATAATCATGATGTTGAAAAAATCTATAGTTTCTTTTACATTATTGCTGTACAACTCTCCTTTTGGAGTTCTATATTAATTGTTTGGACTCTTAAAATAATGGAAAAAAGGAACAGAAAGAACAAAATATTTCTATCTAGCATATAAACTATTGAATGTAAATAATTATTCCTAGAAAACTGAATAGTGGCATTAGCAGATAATCTGGTAGGCCTTGTCGATACCTTAGAGAAATGGAGCCCCAAGGTTGGATCTCTAGTACTACACACACACACACACACACACACACACACACACACACACACACACACAAGAGAGAGAGAGAGAGAGAGAGAGACAGAGACAGAGACAGAGACAGAGACAGAGAGAGACAGAGAGAGACAGAGAGACAGAGAGAGAAACACATACAGAAACACACACATGCACTTGTGTAATAGATGTTATATTTGCCTTAGTGAAAATGAGCCAATAAATTGTTTTATAAATAAAATCTGCTGATTCTTAATGATAAGAATTCTGGTACATTTTTAAGGGATACTGTTACCAATATTTCTTTTTTAAATTTGTTTTTATTTAAATTAGAAACAAGCCTGTTTCACATGTCAATCCCAGTCCCTCTCCCTCACCTCCTCCCCCGCTCCCCACCAACCCCCCACCCCATTCCCCCTCTGCTACCCAGGGAGCATGAGGCCCTCCATGGGAGATCGCCAAAGTCTGTCATATCATCCAGGGCAGCACCTAGGCCCTCCACCATGTGTCCAGGCTGAGAGAACCTCCCTCCACATGAAATGGGCTCCCAAAGTCCATTGATATGCCAGGGATAAATACTGATCTACTACCAGAGGTCCCATATATTGCTGAGGCCTCCTCACTGACACCCACATTTAGGGGGTCTGGATCAGTTCCATGCTGGCCTCCCAGCCATTACTCTGGGGTCCATGAGCTCCCCCTTGTTCAGGTCAGCTGTTTCTGTGGGTTTCACCAGCTCAGTCTTGACCCCTTTGCTCTTCACTCCTCCCTCTTTGCAACTGGATTCCAAGAGTTCGGTTCAGTGTTTAGCTGTGGGTGTCTGCCTCTGCTTATATCAGCCACTGGATGAAGGCTCTAGTGTTACCGATATTTCTAAGGTAAGATAATGGATATTATTATATTATTATACTTGTTCTTCACTACATTCACTTGTCCTTAGGATGAGTATTCTGGGATGGTCATTCTAGAATGGTCATTTCTGCTTAATTTAATTTGTCCATTGAGAAATCATCCTAGATCACTTGCTTTTATTATTTGGCTGGAAAGATTACAGTCTGAATAAATTGGGACAGATCAAAGAGTTTTCAAGTAACACATGCAATCTATTCCCATAGAAAACCATGACAGCCAATTGTCAGTGTATTTCAGAAATTAAAACTAAACCCATACCATGTAAAAAAATTATAAAATATTGAACACCATGGCATGTGCCCATGGTCCCTGATACTCAACTAAGAAGATTATTTGTGTTCAGGAGTTCCAAGCCAGCACAGGCAACATGATGAGATCTCGTCTCTCAGTTGAGCACTGCCCCAGTAACTAAAGATAATGTCTACTGTGTGACATTATCAGCCTTTCCAGGCAGAGGGGATAGGGCAAGGCACAAGAGTTGAATGTAATGGCAGGGATTTTACATTTTATTTATTATAAAATGCTATTTTGAGCTAGTTTGAGCATGGTCTGAATGACATCAGTCACTTCAATGTATTGGCATTTACTTTGATGCTGCTGATCACCAAATTGTGTTGTGTGAACAATGAATGAATTCTATCTTCTATCAAAAATAAATAAATAAAATGCTATTTTGTAAAATTTTACCTACATAAATAAATTTATGTAATTCTCCAGTGTTAGAAAATATGGTTTTGAATGGTTTTATGTGTTTCAGATTTATAGGCATACCAAAAGTTATGTAAACAATTGTCCTGGCTAGTTATTTTCCCCGCTTGACCCAAGCTAGCTTTTTCTGGGAAGTGGTACTACAAGTGAGAAAATGCCTTTATCAGATTGCCTATTGGAGTCTATGGAGTATTTTCTTGATTAATAATTGCTATGGGAAGGCCCAGTCCATTGTGGGTGATGTCATCCCTGGGATGGTGATCACAGGTGCTATAAGTAAACAGGCTGAACAAGCTATGGGGAGCAACCCAGTAAGAAGCTCCTGCCTCCTGCCTTGAGTTCCTGCCTTGGCTTCCCTCAGTGATGGATTGTTACCTGACAATATAAGATGAAATCAACCCTTTCCTCCCTAAGTTGCTTTTGTTCATAATCTTTATGACAACAACAGAAACCTAAGACAATTCTCTATTATTGAGCAAATTGCTTGTTTTCAATTATTCTGTAATGTAATGCTATAGTGTATATCAATAAATGTTTATCTACAGCTCTAAGAATTTCTTAGGATCTTTACAGTGATATGGCTCAGCAGGTAAAAAGCCTCACTCCTGGTAAAAGTTTGCTCCTGGAACCCACAAGGGAAGGAGAGAACTGATTCCTAAAATTGTCCTTTGATCTCCACATATACACCATGGCACATGTGTGACCATGCAGACATGAATACCCCTCACACACATATCATGCTCATCATTCACACACAGATATAATAATAATAATAATAATAATAATAATAATAATAATAATAATTAAATAAAAATTTTACAAATTGATTATTTAATGCAGAGTTGTTAGACACTGGAGATTACAGTTACAATGATATATAATGTAAGCCTAGTATCACAGTGACTAGGTAGAATGAAAAAAGACTGTTAACTGAAGAACTAGCTAATGTTACCCTAGTCATGATGATTGGATTTTGGAGATTTCAGCTAAGTTCTTATGTCTGTGTTGAAGAGAATAGTCTGAATACAATCCTTTTTATATTTAATTGTAGTGTGTGTGTGTGTGTGTGTGTGTGTGTGTGTGTGTGTGTGTGTGTGTGTGTGTTTAATTTGTGTGTAAGTGTGTTTGTGAATTCTGGCCTGCACTCGAAAAAGGTCTTAGGACAAACTGTGGGAGTCAGTTCTCTCCTGTCACACTGTGTTATCCAGAAATCAAACTTAGGTCAGCAAGTCTACCTGCAAGGATGGAGGCCTAAGACCTCCTGTGTGAGCAGGCCAGAAAGGAGGTGGTCAGAGGTTATTTAGAGCTACTTCCACCAAGGAGGTCAAATGTTTGGACCCAGTAAGAAAATAACATTTTCTAGGATGAGCAAGATGGCTCAGTGTGTAAAGGGGTTTGTTACTAAGACTGATGACCTGGGTTTGATTCATGGGAGTCACATGGTGGAAGGGAAGAACAGATTCCCAGTCTCCACTTCCATGGCATGGTATGGCATGGGTGTGTGCTTACATGCACATATACACACAGAGACAGAGACAGAGAGACACGGAGACCCAGAGACTCAATAAACAAGCAAGTAAATCTAAAAAAGAGAAAAGGTTTTCTTTTTCTCAATGTTTGTGTGTATAAAGTTGAATCTCCCTGGAATTTCTAATCCTGAGCAGGATATGAAAGTATACAAACAGTCTCTGCTTGAGAAGGAGGACATGCTATCCTGAGGGACAATCAGTTCAGACAATGGAATGGGAACTACATTCAGGGAAAAGGTCAAATTAGGAGAGTCATCTCATTATGAAGTGGACTCTCAAGTGAGTAGAGAGAACACTTTTTAATAAGAGTGATACAGTGGAATTGGAACACGAGATGGACTCTCTGGATAGAGGAGGGTTCTTCTAGCTCTTACCCTAGGCCAACTTAACATATCATATTTTGCAGAGACTATTGTGAAGGGGAATGTACTATATATGTTTATCTTATTGACTGTTAAATAAAATACTGCTTGGCCAATGAGACAGCAAGTTAGACGGAACTAGGAGTCAAAGAGGATTCTGGGAAATGTAGTAGAGAAGTGCTGATCCAGGCAGGAAGTGACATAGCAAGGAGACTCATATTTAAGCAAAAGAAAAACAGGAAGGGCGCTCTTTTCCCCTCCGCTCCTGCTCCAGTGGCACAATGTGATCCACAGTAAA